AATTGACTGATGTTCTTTCTTTGAAGATAAGTATAAGGTAGATTGACAGTGATTCGAAAGTCTCTTGGTATTTTTTTATGGCCTTGTGTCCTCTACTTTATAAAAACTCAGTGAGCATGCACAGACATAGAAAACAAATTTATAAAAAAAAAAAAAAGAAAGCAAATTTATAGTTACCAAAGAGGAAGGGTAGGGGAGAAGTAAATGAAGAGACTGGGATTAGAAGTATATATAAAATAGATAAACAACAAGGTCCTAGTGTTTTGCACAGGAAACTGTTCAATATCTTGTAGTAAACTGTAATGGAAAAGAATCTGAAAAAGAACTGAATCACTTTGCTGTGTACCAGAAATTCACACAGAATTGTAAATCAACTATACTTCAATTAAAAAAAAAAACACAAAAATGCAATGAGCATGTATTATTTTCATTTATACGATCAGTTGACACTTATGATTGCTTGCTCTATATGGTTTACCATGATGAGTGCAGTATACAATGAAGGGGCATAGATACTGTTTTCTAGATATTCATAACAGGAAGAAATAAGATAAATTCCCTCTTAGAGCAAATGTCTTAATTGCAAACATAAGCCCTTCTGACATTCTGTGTTCAAAATTTGATACGGATCAAGGCAAGAAAAGTTTGTAGAGACCAAATTTAGAGATGGCCCAGGTATAGAACTTGTAGATAACTATGATTGGCGTGTTATAGGATCTGGTAGAAAAGGTAGACAACATGCATGAACAGATGGAGATTTTCAGGAGATGGAAACTATAAGAAAGAATCACATGGAAATGGCAGAAATACAAACATATTCCAGTAGTCATGTATGGATGTGAGAGTTAGACCATAAAAAAGCTGAGCATCAAAGAATTGATGCTTTTGAAATGTGAATGTTGGAGAAGACTCTTGAGAGTCCCTTGGACTGCAAGCAGATCAAACCAGTCAGTCCTAAAGGAAATCAGTCCTGAATATTCATTGGAAGGACTGATGCTGAAGTTGGCCACCTGATTCAAAGAGCTGACTCATTGGAAAAGACCTTGATGCTAGGAAAGATTGAAGGCAGGAGGAGAAGGGGATGACAGAGGATGAGATAGTCGGATGGCATCACTAACTCGATGGACGTGAGTTTGAGTTGATGGACAGGGAGGCCTGGCGTGCTGCAGTCTATGAGGTCACAAAGAGTTGGACACAACTGAGTGATTGGATTGAACTGGACATAAAGGATTCTTTGAGAAAATTATCAGATATGCAAGGTCTTAAAATTTCTTATCTCAGCAAACTATTGGAAAATACACCACATCAAAACAAATGAGTAAACCAAAAAAAGAAGAAAATATGAACTCCAGGAAATAGAAGCACCAGCACAGGATTCCGGTAAGGGGGATCCCCTGACAGTGGTGAAGGCAGATTTAGATCTGACATGCCTAAGAATGTCAGCTTTGCACCATGCTGAGCTTGTAAGAAGATGCTAGGAGAAACTTCTTCAGAAAAACTTATACTTCCTGATGATCTGATTTTATATTGGAAAGATGCAGACAGCTAGCCAAGAATTTGGGGCTGAATTAGTGATAAGTATGGAGACAACCCAGAGAAGGCAATGGCACCCCGCTCCAGTACTCTTGCCTGGAAAATCCCATGGATGGAGGAGCCTGGTAGGCTGCAGTCCATGGGGTCACTAAGAGTTGGACTGAGCGACTTCACTTTCACTTTTTACTTTCATGCATTGAAGAAGGAAATGGCAACCCACTCCAATGTTTTTGCCTGGAGAATCCCAGGGACAGGGGAGCCTTGTGGGCTGCGTCTCTGGGGTCGCACAGAGTCGGACATGACTGAAGCGACTTAGCAGCAGCAGGAGCAGCATGGAGACAACCAAACAAATTTTAAAATGACATAAATCTGGGAAAAACTTGCAGGAAGGAAAGAATCGTCATAGTTTACTGTGTAAATCACCTGTGAACAGTATTTTCACAGTCCTAAATTTGTAAATGTTAAACTCACATTTAACCAAAATTACAACTATGATAATGGGTTTTATGATATTTCAAGACATAGAGGTTAAAGCACACGCACACACACACACACACACAAACACAACTTTATGGGCGTTCCCCCTGCTGTGGCCCAGTTTCAGCCCCTGGTTGGGGAACCTACCTGCTGCATGGCTCTGCCAAAAAAAAAAGGGGTAAACCCCAAAACAGTCAGCTGAAAGAGGTAAAAGTGGTTTTTCTTTTAAATGAAGGAAATGGAGAGGTGCGGGGCATTCGGCAGAACTTTGCTTATCTTTGGGCATTCGGCAGAACTTTGCTTATCTTTAAAACTGCAGGATGACTGACTCTTTAAATGAGTGTTTTACTGTGGTATTTTAAAAATGTTTTTCATTGACAACTCTCATTGGATGATCACCAACTTATGGACTGTTAAAATACTTACTATGTGATATTTCAAGCTTAAATAAAAATCTAATCTATTCATAGCTTTGTTGGTGATGGTGTTGATTTAGTCACTAAGTCATGTCCGACTCTTTGTGAGCCCATTGACTGTGGCCTGCCAGTTTCCTCTGTCCATGGGATTTTCCCAGCCAAGAATACTGGTTGGGTTGATGATTTCTTCTCCAGGGGATCTTCCTGACCCAGGGATCTGATTCATGTCTCCTGCATTGGCAGGCCAATTCTTTACAGCTGAGCCACCAGGGAAGCCCATTTAGAACTTTAGCCAAACAAAAATCCTTTACAAGTATAAATAAGTAGGCAGCCACTGTTGAAAAGTAGAAATTTTCTATCTGTTGAGATGGTTTTGAATCAATTAATCCATTTTGGACTTTGAAAGCTCAAAATGAATTTAAGATGACTAAGTGTATTTTCACACGTTTCAAACAAACAAATCAATAGTAATAAACCAAACTGAAGGGAGGGCTTGCTATTTCATTTGCTCTTTTTCTGTGATAAAGTGGTTTTACATTTTGAGCACAGACTCAAAATATAAAAGAATAAAATAATTAAAATCTCAAAAAAAAAAGTTTGTTGCACTTTTGAGGAATATGAAGAAATATAAATAGATTTGAATCACAGATTCAAATCTCATCTTGTGCAGATCTGATCTTAGGCATTATTTGGAGAATACTGATGTTATCTAGAAAGCTATGCTACTGTGGTGGACATCTTTGTTGAAAGATGCTTTCTTAAAGGTACCAAGTTGTTTGATTCAGGTGGTCTCTAGATGAGTGTGCTCTAAATGTCAGTCAGTCTTTTCTCATTGTTTTACTTTTATAATATAGACTAATGAAAGAACACTTCAATAAATTAGAAAGATTAAAGTACTATATGTAATTGGATTCTTGTAACAAAATTATTTGAGAACATTTATTAAGTACAAATTACTGTAAAGTACTAAGTGTTTCTTTGGTTTACAGTGAAACATGATGAAAAGCTTTTAGAGTAATGTAAAAACTGTTTGACAACTCTGGAATTTAGAATTCAGAACCAGGTCATAGGCAAAAATATGTTTCATAGTAGACATCTTGTATTTTTGTCATCTCTGATATTGCCATTTCTTAGAGTTTCTTTGTAACTTCGTGAAGTTAAAAAAAGCATTGTATTATCCCTGGAAAAGATTTATGTAGTCTTAATCCATTGTGCTAGAAGATCAGGTTAATGTTCATAGTATCATCTTACGTTTCTATTTTCTAGCTTTCTGATTTTTTCCCCCAGTTTTATGCAGCCATGGTTAAATGCCAAGTATTATAGTCCTTCTCGGGTGGGGAGAAATATTTTTTGTTTTTGTAAGATCTTGCAGAATTTGACTCTTTCCTTTTATGATCTCACACTAGGAGTTCATTCTCTCTCTCTCTCTCTCTCCCCCCCTCCCCCTGTGTATGTCATCTTTTATCTTTTTATCTACCTGGAACAGTGCCTATCACCTAGACACCCAATGTATATATTTACATACACACGTAGATTTTATTTTAGTCAGAATTTTACCATTTTATTTGTAATTGTGGAGTTAAATTGAATTTTACATCTTTGATAAAGGAATAACAGCAATTTTGCTTTTAAAATTTAAGCAGCATACTTAATATAGTAAGGGTAAGATTCCTACCTGCAATTCTCTTTAATGCAACTTTTAGAAATAAGACATATACTGTACCATGTGCTAATAAAGAAAGTGTACTAAGATAATATAAGAAGCAAAGAATGTAAATAAAAGTAATTTTCCCTGTATATATTGCTAGTCCATTCATAGGTGGTTCTTCACCAGGGAATCTTCCTGACCCAGGGATGGAACCTGAGTCTCCTGCATTGCAGGCGAATTCATTACCATCTGAGCCTAGGGAAGCTCCGTGGGTGATTAAAGATAGTAAACATGAAATATAAATATGTCACATCGTTCTTCTTTCAAAACTCACTCTTACTCTATTGTCCTATTAGTTGAAAAGTCTGAGGAAATGTTCGTCTTGGCTGTCTTGACTGCTGATCTTCCTACCCCGTGCATGCTATGCTGTGATTGGTGTTTGATTATGCGCCCTCGCTAGGTTGCTTTTTAGGTGGCAAGGATCATGTCTGTCTTTTTATCTGCCTAGAATGGTGCCTGTTACTTTGGCAGACAAGAACAGAATGAATGAATGAATGCCCATTTTCTATAGTGGATTTGAGACTGAGGAAGCAGAATTTTAAATTATGCTTAGATTCTGCCTGAGGCAGTCCCAGCTAGTGACCTGAAAATCGTCTCAGTTTTGATTATGACTTTGTCTTTTTGAAGTCTTTTTTGGGTGTTTGATTAATGATGCTTACAATGTTGCTGTTTCATTCTCAGAATAGTGTGTCTACCTTTTACTGTCAGTAGGTGTGGGGACACACCAGTTAACTTAATCATGACCACCATCAAAGCCAATGTGTAACTTTCTTGTAAGCTTCTTTCATTGGTTCAGCTGTGATAAAATATAGTCTTTGTTTCTTGAGTGTAATGCATAATTTTTTATTATGTCACTATGTTTACAGTGGAAAAGAAGAAGGAAACAATAACAGAGTCAGCTGGTCGACAACAAAAAAAGAAAATTGGTAAGATGAGTTATTGCTGTATACAATATTAAGGTTTTCTTGGAAAAATAAATTCTCAGATAATGAAAATATAAGACAGTTTTTTGTTTTTAACAAAGTGTTGGGCTGCGCTGGTTCTTTGTTGCTGCACAGGCCTTTCTCTAGTTGCAGCAAGCAAGGCCAGGGGCTCCTCTCTAGTTGCTGTGTGTGGGCCTCTCATTGTGGTGGTTTCTCTTGCTGTGAAGCACGGGCTCTAGGGCATGTGGGCTTTTTTTTAAAAATAAAGTTTTCAATAGTGATAACTCATGTTTATATAGTTCTACAGTCTACAAGAGCACTTGGGTACATTATCTTGCATGCATGCGTGCTAAGTCACTTAAGTCATGTCCAACTCTGTGCGACCCTGTGGACTGCAGCCTGCCAGCCTCCTCTGTCCAAGGGATTCTCCAAGCAAGAATACTGGAGTGGGTTGCGTGCCTTCCTTGGGGGAGTCTTGTCTAACCTGCGTTGGCAGTCAGGCTCTTTACTGCTAGCGCCACCTGGGAAGCCCTGTACGTTATCTTACTGGATTCTTTCTACCGTGTCGTAGAACAACTTCAAGCACTTGCTTATGTTTGCTTTTAGCTTTGAAATTTCAATTTAGGAAAATGATGTTGACAGTCATGGCTTTTGAACTTGGCTGAAGATTCTTGGCATAGTTTGTAAAAGTGTTTTGTTTTCTTATCTGAGATGATTATTTCCAGTTAAGCCTGAGTTATGTGTGCTTACTGTTGCCATGACTTCCTTACTGAGAATTGACTGGAGATGGAAACCCACCAACACATAGGAAGTTTTCTGCTGAATAATTATACCTACTCTGCAAAATAATTGGTTTTAGTTTTTCAGTGTAACTTGACTTTAATTACAGAATGTAATTCTGTTCCAAAAAGACAATTTATAAATGGCTATGTATAATTTGTATTTGTACTTTATATGCTTGCTGATTCTAAGATCAGGAAAAAATTGTTGTGAAATTGTGTATTTGGATCAGAAAGTATGACTTTATACCTGGATCATTGCTGTTAAATCCTGGAAGATTACTCTACCAGGCTTGACTATACCAGTGTCCTTTACTAGTTATTGTTGTTGTTTAACCACTAAGTTGAGTCTGATTCTGAAACTGCACAGACTATATCCTGCTAGGCTTTTCTGTCCATGGGATTTCCCAGGCAAGAATACTGGAGTGGGTTGCCATTTCCTTCTCCGGGATCTTCCCAACCCAGGGATCGAACTTGCCATCTCCTGCTTTAGAAGACAGATTCTTTACCACTGAGCCACCAGGGAAGCCCAGTTGCCTGTTCTGGTTAAAGCTTCTCAACTTAGTGCAGGGATATTAGATGTGCTCTTAATGGCCTGATCACTTGGCTCCGTGGCAAGGCGCTGCTGCACACCCCTCTGAGTGGGTGTGCCAGTGGTGTTCTGTACGCCAGCCACTCTGGTGGGCCCTGAAGCAGCAAAGTAGGAGAGGAGTTCTGTCTTTTAAGAGATCTAAACAGGGAAACGAATCAGTGCAGTGTAATAGATATTTTTTAGAGATACATTCTGACTGCCATAAAAGTAAAGAGAAAGGATATTCGAACCAATCTAGGGGATCAGGTTTTCTTGGAGATAATGCTTTAAGTTGAATCTCAAAGCTTCAGTGTGTATTAATTAAGTAAAAATATAAATAAATAAAATACCGGTCAGTTGGACCATCTGCAAAACCCTGAAGTAAGCCTTTACATATTTTTTAACTCTTTTGCCAATGGTGTGTGGTAGTGAACAGTGTTACTTCATTTTTAGTGATGAGAAAATTGAGCTTAAGTAACTTGCTCTTGGTCATTCTGTGGTATGGTGCAATTAAGTCAGTGGTAGAGAAGAGATTTAAACCTGTACATTCATAACTTTAGAATCCACATTTTTAAGTCTTGTATATTCTTGGCAGGATAGGCATATGCAAAAGCATAGAGCGGTCAAATAGCAAGGTATATACCTGGAACTATAAATAGTATACTGTAACAAATAAAAAAAGGTATGTGTAACATATAAGCAGACAAGCCTAGAGAAATGAGTAGTGCCTAGTCCATAAAGGTCCTTATCAATTAAACTAAGATAAGGAGGTTAACATATGTAGAAAGGAATTTAAACAGAGGTTTGAAATCACATTTTAAGGAAGACAAATCTGGCAATATTTGGAGCATAAACCAGACAGGGGATCATTCTGGAGGTAGGGAAGTTGTGAGATTTATCAAGTATCCTTGGCATATAAATAGCATAGCAAGAACCTGAACTTCGGCAGGGGTACTGGGACTGGAGTAGGTGGTACATATTCAAAGGATTTAAGCAAGGAGATGTAACACAACTTGATGACCTTTTAGATGTAAGGTATGTAGAGAAGAATGAGTCTGGGAAGAAGCCTGGATTTCTGAGTAGAACAGGAAGTATTGGAAGAGCAGCGATTGGGATAAGGAAGAAGAGAGGCTGATCTCAGTTTGGACGTGCTGGATTTGTCATGCCTGTGTGACAGTAGGGTGGAAATATTTGGTACACCGTTGGATGTATGGTTTGGAGCTGACAGAGAGGTAAAGGCTACGAATGGAGTTTCTTTACTATTTTTAAAAGTTGATTCAGTTTTTGTCTGTGCTGGGCCTTCATTGCTATTGAAGGGCTTTCTCTAGGTGCAGCAGACACGGGCTCCTCTTCATTGCGGTGTGCAGGCTTCTCGTGGAGGTGACTGCTCTTACCGCAGAGCACAGGCTCTAGGCACACAGACTTCAGTAGTCGCAGTGTGCAGGCTCAGTGCTCGTGGCTCGAGGGGCTCTGGAGTGTAGGCTCAGTCATTGTGCTGTATGCTCTGTGACATATGGGGGCTTCCTGGGCCAGGAATTGAACCCTGAACCCCTGTCCCCCACACTGGCTGGCAGGTTCCTAACCACTAGATCACCGGGCCTGTTATCGTTCAGTCACTAAATCATGTCTGACTCTTTGTGACCCTGTGGACTGCAGCATGCCATGCTTCCCTGTCCTTCAGTGTCTCCTGGAGTTTGCTCAAACTCGTGTCCATTCAGTCACTGATACCATCCAACCATCTCATCCTCTGGACCGCCAGGGAAGCACCTACAAGTAGAGTTTAGAATCATGTGATTATAAATTGTAATTGGGTCCACAAACTAAATGAGATCACATGGTGAGGCCATATAAAGTAAGAAAGGCAAAGGGCCAAGGATGGAGAGAGTCCTGAAACATGAACATTCAAAGAGTGAGAAAAGAAGTGGAGCTCAAAAAAGCAATGCCAGAGCTGTTGGAAGAGAGTTGTGTCACAGAGGTTGAGGAGAGAATTTCAGGGGACAGGAAGGGTTAGAGGGCAGGTGTTAGATGTCTAAGAGGCAAAACAAAGGTATTAGTGATTTAGCAAGAATAATTTCAGCAGCATGGGATTTCCCTGCTGGTCCAATGATTAAGAATCTGCTTTCCAGTGTAGGAGGTGCAGGTTGGATCCCTGGTCTGATCAGGGAGCTAGGATCCTACGTGCCTTGGGACAACTAAGTCAACACATCACAACTAAGACCTAACTCAGCCAAATAAATATTTTTAAAAAGAGAATAGTTCAGTGGCTTTATAGGGGACAGAAGCCATATTGTATAGATTAGGGAAATAATGCATGTCAGAAAGTAAAGACATTGAATATAGGCAGTTTATAGCTTTGTTATAAAGATAAGTAAGATATAAACATGGAAGGCATCCAATACTTTGGCCACCTGATGTGAAGAACCCTCTACTTGGAAAAGACCCTGATGCTGGGAAAGATTGAAGGCGGGAAGAGAAGGGGACAACAGAGGATGAGATGATTGGATGGCATCACCAATGCAATGGACATGAGTTTGAGTAGGCTTTGGGAGTTGGTGATGGACAGGGAAGCCTGGTGTGCTGCAGCCCATGGGGTCACAAAGAGTTAGACACGACTGAGTGACTGAACTGGCTGATCAGAAATCTTTAAATCTAAACTTGTATTATTTGGGCCTTTATAAAATTGCTTCAACTGTATTTTGCCTTGACATTGCACTTTAGCTATGTCATGAAAAACTCAGCCAGTTGCATTTATATTTTAGTAGTACTATGGACTGTTTATTGAGAACATTACATCACTTACATTAGATGGTATTCCTTTGACAAGAGATTATGGAAACTTTCTAGTGGTTTAAAACATCAAGACCAACAGTGATTCTCATAAATAATTGATTTACTTTTATCTTATTGACTCTGTGTTTGAACTGATGGTTTTTCCTCCTACTTTAAACCAGCTGCTAATAAGCATAGAGTCAGATTTGCTATCATTTCCAGCAGCTTTATGAGACCATTAAATGCATTTCTGTCGCTGACCCTATCTATCAATGTAGTTTTATTGTGTGACCCTTATCGTTCCTTTTCTCAGATTACCCACATGGGCCTCTTTAAAAGCTGAATGTGTAGGGACTTGCCTGGTAGCCCAGGGGGCTGAGACTCTGCACCACAGACGCAGGGGCCTGGGTCTCAGCACTGGTCAGGGGCCTGGGTCCCACTCGCCACCTGCTGCAACTGAGAGATCCCTCACACTGCAGCTCAGGCCCAGCACAGCCAGGTAAATAAACCTGTATATGTACGGGGCTTCCCAGGTGCCAGCTGTGGCAAAGAACCCACCTGCCAACACAGGAGACGCAAGAGACACAAGTTTGATCCCTGGGTCAGGCGATACCCTGGAGGAGGGAATGGCTACCCACTCCAGTATTCTTGTCTGGAGAATCCTGCAGTCAGAGGAGCCTGGTGGGTTACAGTCCATAGGGTCTTAAAGAGTTGGACATGACTGAAGTGAGTTAGTATGCATCATACTCACACACACATAGTGATGAGGGGACTATAAAGAGTGATATTGCTGCTTTGGAAGAAGGGAGTTCTTAGTAAGAGGGGAAAGGTCAGCAAATTCAGTGTTTCAGAGAAGCAAAATGTCATTGATATCACTTAGGTGA